ATTTGTATTCAAAATACACTGAATTTTGTCTATTATTTCACACAAACTCTTTGTTGCATTTAAATTACTCATCATTTCAATCAACGAAACACTTATTAATTTTGAACACATTTTCTAAATAATATCAAAATTTTACTAAATATTTAATTCCAATTACAGCACAACCACTAAAAATGAACACCAAATCTAATGAGAATTTAATGTGTAATATAATAAAATGGCTAAAAATTCATATCGTTTTCAACACGTGCTTTCTTTGATAGTGAAAACCTGTTTACTAAATATTGTTACCATGTTTATCTTTATTTCATCCAACCTTTCTCCATTAGTCAGTCTGATTTTTATTGTGCACAATTAAATATTATTCCCACAAAATAACCATTTTATAATTTATAACTTTTAATCAAACCATAATCATAAATAAAATTACAGAATAACTATATTTAAAATATTTTTATTTATTCCTAAAAAACACCGCAAATCACAAAAGCATCAAAAAACATGGTAAGAAATTAAGACCAAAACTATTTTTTAAGCGATTTCTTGAATTCGGCGATCTGTGCGGACACAATTTTTTGATCACCTGTAATAAAGCAAAAAACAATAATTAATCACATTGTAAATATACACAAAAACAATAAACATGATAGATTAAACAAAACACTAACTATTCTGAAAGTCCTTAATCATGCGAACAGTGATGAGTTTGATGTGATCGGTGGTGAGTGACACCGAGTACTCCCTATCAATCCTTTGTTGCATTTCCACCGCTAGTATAGACTCCATACCGACGTCACCGAGGGTTAGGTCGTCGGGAAGCGACGACATGTCAATGCCTATGCCCTGCCATACCGTGTTCTTCGCACCGGCAGCCGAACCACCTATGGTTGACAGGTATGTATAGTTTTAGTAAATTGACACAACATTGGCTATAATAGATGGTAGTATTACCTGACTGTTCGGCGCCCTCCCGGCGCACAATCGTCGACACAACGGCGTCTCCGCAGCTCAGGAACCGATCCATCACTTCCAGACACGACGGTATGCGCTGTGTGTTGATAACCATACCTATGCTGGTCAGGTCGATGTTGTCGTTAGCCGCCCACAGCCCGACATCGCCGATGGGGCCGTACTGTATGGCCAGACCGGGCAGACCGTCGCGCTGTCGGCGCTCACAGATACGCTCCATTACGGCGTTGGCGTAACCGTAATTGTTTTGGCCCACAAACCCACGGCCCGAGCTCTGGGAGCTAAACGCCACGAAGTAATCCATGTCTGGGCAAAACTTACGGCACACGGCGTCCAGATAGCCGAGTGCGTCCACTTTCGGGGCGCAGACTTTGCGGAAAGTGGCGGCCGTTTGGTCGCCAATGAAGGCGTCGGCCAATACTGTGGCGAAATGAAAGATACCGCCCAACGGTCCCATCGACTGGGCCTCAGCTATCAGTTTCTCGGCCCCCGCTATGGACGACGGGTCAGACGTGGAGATCTTGACCTGTGCCGACCCACCGACACCTCCCGTGGCCTCCGTCTCCACTCGTTTCACAAACACGTATTGGTAGTCGTTTTTAATGCCTATTGTATTAAAACATGGTAATAAAATTTTTTATTTTACTCATGATTAATAAATTATTATTGAATATTTAATACTAACCACTGCGTGACACGCACACCAGTTTGCGGGCACCCCTGGCCACCAGCCAATAGGCCACCTCTAGGCCCAAACCACCCAACCCTCCAACCAATACATACACTTTGTTGGCGTCGAACCAACTCCTAGTGTTGGCCACAATATTAACGGCTTTTATATCAGTCGTGATCTTATTAAACGGCTCCTCCTCTCGCACTTTGACCAACACTTTGCCTATTGTCTGACCGGAGCTCAACTGTTTGAACGCCCGCTCGACCACATCATAACCGTATACCACACGCGGTAATGGCTTAATAGATCCTGATTAAAAATAAATCGTTTTTAATTATAGCACCCAATGTTTAAATTCTAGTTAATTTTTATTGATTATTTAAATCTAATACTGTATATTGTATTTAGTTAAAGCATAATGTTAAATTAATATTGAATTACCATTCTGTAAGCCATCGGTGAACCACTTCGTAAACGATTGAATGAGTTTAGGTAAAAATATATCAAACGTCTCGTCACTAATAATTGTCGATATATTGTAATACAAGGTGTTTTTGGTGCCAGCACTGGACAAACGTGCTTGATTACTGTTGTCATAATTATCCAGATCGACCCAACGACCGTATTGGCCCAACACTTCGGCTGCTAAAGTCAGCTTCTCGCCGGACAGGGCGTTAAGCACAGCGTCAACACCCGTGCCGTCGGTCGCGGCCAGGATTTGTTCACTAATGGACGTGTCGTTCGGATCGTAGATACAGTTGACTGGAATGCCATACGTGTCGGTCAGGAATTGGCGTTTCTCTGGTGTGGAGGCAGTGGTCAACACTCGACACGACAGTCCTTTGGCCACTTGTATAGCTGCCAAACCGGTCGAGTCGGTTCCCGAGTGAATCAGAATTGTCTCGCCTAGGTCAATTATTTAGTATGTATTTAGTAATTTAGTTTATAAAAATTATTTATGTGTTTATGCCTGAATAATAATCTTGTTAAAATAATATTATATCTAGTAGAAACGGGTTTCAAACATTATTAGTGATTAATATTAACATAAAAATGTAATAACTATTTTATATCAGATTAGTAAATAATTTGTGAGTAAAATGCTTGTAAGTGCCCATGTACACCACTGATGCAGAATGTAATGAGACACTTATCGGTTGCACCAAAAATTATCATGTACAAATTTCATATATCATTTTGAAAATAAAAGATTATTTTCTTACAGTTTAAGAATAATTATCTGAAAATATTTAATAACTTGATTATTGGTGTTGCTACTCAAAGTTGGTACTACTACTAATGTTGGTACCATCAGACATGAATTATTTGTCATAAAAATATACAGTTGCTGCTTACAAACCAATTATAAATAAAGTTACACTGTTTATATACCAAAAATGTATGTTACGATTATCATTTACAGTTTGTGTGCCAATACATACCGCCTTCAATCTGAGCCCTGTTTATAAGGCTATACCAGACGGCAAAGTAGGCGCTGATTGCAGACACGCCGTCCTCTATGGACCAGTTGTCGGGCACCGGAATCAACACCCGATCGCTGGCCTCAATACTCGTGGCAATGGATTTGCCGCCACTGATGCCCATAACACGAGCGCCGGTATCCTCCCGGCGACCGCCATAATCAAAGCCAAACACTTTGTTCACGTACTCAGAGCCTAATTGACCTTTAAAATGATAATGACAAATAAAATTAACATAAATTTAAATCATCTAGTTATTCGATGAATTATACCTGATGCCAGCGCCAAATCTTTATGATCAACGCCTGAGTAATATATTTGCACATTTACTGTGCCATTAGCTCCGGTAGCAACATGTTTACTAGCACTCGTGGCCGACTGGCCAACAGCACCGGTAGACAAGTTATACCACTGTATACTATTGAGATCACCCTTTTTGGTCACATCGAGATAGGCTCGTGAGGTTTGGCGCTCATTATAGCCGCGCTCCAGATTCAAGAGCCTATAAGAGCCCCAACTCTCGCCTACAAGTTATACCACTGTATACTATTGAGATCACCCTTTTTGGTCACATCGAGATAGGCTCGTGAGGTTTGGCGCTCATTATAGCCGCGCTCCAGATTCAAGAGCCTATAAGAGCCCCAACTCTCGCCTCGCAATACATTCATCACTAAATCGTTTCGCAATATTGTGTTGAAGGGCTCGACAGTGAAATCGATGGGCAGTCCGACCGTTGGGTCGTCCGTCACTATACACCGGAATCGGTCGCCTCCCGGCTCTTGACGTAAACAGTTTACCAGACCTATTGACGGAGGGGTCGGCACATGGGTTAAAAACATTGTTTAAAAAAATTAATATGCGTAACTTCTCTCTATACCATAAATATAGTTTTATTATTGTCATTTATGTTTTATTTATATTTTAAATATTATTTACAGGTTTATAACACTATAGTATTTTCTATGAGTGAGTGAGTGAGAGTGAGAGAGAGCATAATATAATATTTAATTTAAAAATATAAAAGAGGAGCGCAAGTATTGACCCTTAATACATGATTGTATGAATTATTTATGGATTGCATTTTAAATGCTATAATTGTTTTACAGTTTGATATTTAAATATTTAGAAAATGAGAGAGAGAGAGAGAGAGAGAGAGAGAGATTTGGGATCAAATAAGTTAAGAACAAACTATAATGATTTATTTTAATTGCGCTGTCACTGCCGTATAGGTTAGTTAATTATAATCAATTAAAACGTACCGATAATGCCATTCAAATCGCTATCGTTGGCAAAAAGCCATACGTTATCGGTCTTCGGTCTGTCCTTATATTCAACGAACCGACTCTTCAACTCTTCGACCCATTCGTCGTATTTCCCAAACTTCACGTCAACGACCGCCTGTCCCGAGGGATCCGACTGTTTGGCGCACTTCCGGAACAGTAGAGCAGTGGAGGCGATGCCATCACTCTTACGGCTAACAGCGCTGAAGTGGTTTTGTTGCGCGTATTTAATGAATGAATTCAACCGATCGTTTAAACACTTGTTTGAGATGTTTATGTCTATTATTCATAAGAGTCGGCGAGATTGGAGAAGGTAAAGTTTGAATTCATTAATAATTACCTAGCTACTGTATATCACTTTACAATAGTGCATTACCTGATAACTGAAACAATAGGCTATCGGCCGGCGCCAATTGAGTCCGGAATACTGCAAACAAAAAGCCACTCTCTTTAACACTGCCGGCCATATCGGCCACTAGAGCCTCGAAGCTGGCTGTGGCCACATCTCCCACCCGATCCCTATAGATGTCGTCGAGATGGCCACGGAGGTTGCACCCTATGGGACAGAATAACTGCAGGGTAAGCTGGTTAGCCATCGGGAATAGGGACTAGAGCAGCCCGTGACTGAACTGTAGCGGCCACCGATAGCATATCACGACCACAAGTGGGTAATGAAAGAAAAAGCCCATATTATAGAGGACTGCCGGTGCCATAATGGCCCGACCGATGTTCAGTTCAGCCACCGCTATCTGGCGCTGATTGTTCTCGTTCACAATGTCCAACACTGATCGCATCAGTCGGCCATTGCTATGCACTTTGTTTAGCAAATCAAGGCTCAGGTCGTACTGTAGGCCGTTGTCGGCCAAAAATTTACGGCACAGACCAACCATCGCCTTACTATCGGCCCCAACACTGTTCCCGTTCTCGTCAAACAGTGTGTTATGTAAGTTAAATAACAATCTCAACACCACCTCCTCGTCAGCACCGGTAGTGTCAGACAGTCTGGCAATCAGTGCTGACAACGAGTTCCGTTTGTCATCGCTTTTGATAAATAGATTGCGTTTTGTTTGGTTATAATCGGCGCCCAAACTGTCGCTGATTTTGTCGACCAATAGATTACAATCGGATATATATTTTCGCAGGCGTTGGGCGTCCGGAGCCTCAATTGCCTGGTCCTCGGTGTGCGGCACCCACTCGTACTTTTCCATTTGCACCTCGTGCATTACGTTACGTAAGGGAATGCCCGCAAATGTTAACCTCTTCAATTCAATACCTTTAATCATAATAAAATAACAAATCATATAAATTAATATGTGGTTTTATGATTAAATATTTATAAATTATCTTGTTTATTTTAAATTAAAATTATTATTCACGACTCATAAGATTGTAAAATTGTAATTTTAATTATCTAGATTAATTAATAATCTTAATTGATAGTTATACTGTATTGGTAATATTTAATAATGGTATTAATAAATTTATATTAACTAACCATTAGAAATAACAGATTTGCGTTTTGAATCGGTGACAACGAGTGCTGATTTACTACTATCATCGCCGGCACTACCGGCGCCGAAGAGCATCCGTGGGTCGCAGCACAGGTACGGCATGTGTTGGACAACATACACACCCCGACTGGTCGTATGTGTTATGTATAGTTGAATGAGAGACTCGACAAATGAGATCCAATTGGCAGCGATGGCGCCGGTAGTGTCGAGTTTGACGCGAGCGTAGGACTTACTAAACGTGTCGTACTGTAACTCTTGAATCTGTCTGAATTTGGGCCCGTAATCAAAACCACGTACGTTTAATTCTGTGTAGAAATCGTTTGTATCCAATTTATGCCCCTTCCTATTTGGAAATTATTTGTTAATTTTATTTAGTTATTAATGTTTTATTAATAAAGCATGTAATATTAGTTTGATTGGTGTAATATTAATAATAATAATATTTAAATTACTTTATTAACCTTTCCTATCAAACTGTAAATCTATTTATTTCAATCATATTTATTATTCTAATTGATAAAGTATTTTTAATAATGGAGTGTTTAATTAACCCGTTTAGTAATATTTTTAATCATATTTATTTTGTCTACATAATCATAAAATAAATTAAGTATCATGTAAACTAATTAATCGTTAATATTATAGAAGAATATGGCTCACTTTCATAGAAATAATATTTTAAATATAATTAAGTCATGCATTATTCATTAAATTAGAAATCTAAAAACTGTAAACTTAACAAAGTTTTTATCCCAATAATACGGTAAAACTTAAAATACGTTTAGAATGGGATAAGTCATCGGAGAGTATAAACCTTATGCATACAAAACTACATAAAAACCTTTTTTAAGCTAACATTTTACATAAAATGTGTTAGGATAAATTATAATTTATTTATCATAATTACCATATATCATTCTTAATTTGAATGCCATCATCAGCCAAGCAGAGTCTACTATCGGCGCCCTCTGGCACCGACACCGTACCGGTGACGGCCACCTGTTGGCCCTCCAACACTACAAACTCGCCGGTCGGGGCCAGCATTCGGACCGTCAGCTTAGCCTCACTATCCTCGGCGAGAGGGGTCAGCCGTTTGAACGACACATTCGTGAATTCAACGGGCAATTGATACCATTGGCAACCGAACTGAGCGGCCAATC